GGTACAGTATGGTACAGTAAGCAATTAAAAAAAATGTATTATTATTTTTTTTTAAAGTATAATTTAGAATATATTTATAGTAGAGAATTGCTACTTTCACTACCATTTTTGCTATTTGTCATGGTGACGACCAAATCCTAGTATATTATATTCAAGGAATGCTTAGTTATGAAGGTTCGAATTTTGGTCGCAATATCATGTAGACATGTGGTGCTCACAACAATCAGAGTAATAGACAGTAATTGTGTAGATCAGTGATTTTATCATAGGTAGTTTATTTGTAATACATATGTCATAAAAATACTCTATAGTAGTTAGTATGTTATTGATTAGAAAGTCTATTGTAGCTTATGTGTTATCTTGCATTAAGAATGTAGTAATTAATTTGTAGTCTTAAAAAGTAAAAACTATATAAATAGAGTAAGGATGATTAGTAAATCCTCATACTTTTTTCCCTTTGAAAAATAAAAATAAATAAAAAGTAACTGTTCACTTGATCTTTCATTTTTTTATAAGCTAGTTGTCTGTAGTGTTTAAGGCTAAGCTAAAGGCAGAATAAGGTGCCTTTTAATGCTGTGTATATATTGACAAGACCCAAAGCCATTGTAAGTAGAGCTAGATTATAAAAGACAAACCTGGCTTTTGTTAACCACCTGTGATACTATTACTATCTTATAAAATTTAAAAAGTAATTCGGAAAGATATTATTATTAAAAAAACTTTTATTAATCTTAATAAAAGTTATTTATTAAAAAAATTTTATTAATAAAATTTTATAAAATCTTGAAATTTTCAAAATTTTTTTAATTAATTTTAACTTTATTTACTAAGTAAAGTTATTTAGTATCTAAAAATATATTAAACAGATAGTTATTTTTATTTTACTTAAAATTTAAAGAAAAAATGCTTAATATTATATTTTTGATTAAAAATCTAAAATTAAGTATATTTTTTCAAATTTTAAGTAAAATGAAAATAACTATAACAGTTTAATATATTTTAGATACTAAATAACTTTAATTAGTGAATAAAGTTAAAATTAATTAAAAAATTTTGAAAATTCTAAGATTTTTAAACTTTATTAGTAAAATTTTATAAAATTTTATTATTCTTAAAAATTTGTTATTTAATTTTAACTTTATGATTAAGTAAATTTGTTTAGTACAGTACACCCTCTCAAATCTAATAGGCATGATAAATATCTTTTGTATTAGTTTTGAGAGGTTATCAGATTTAAGATACTAATAGTTCAATAATTATATAATTATAAATAAATATAATTGGCAGTCTATATATATTGTATATTTACTTGGTTATACAAGATTCAATCTAAGCTAATCAAATTAATTTATATTACTCAACAAACACCATATTTTATAAGCATCTGATCCTTTGAATATTGGTAATAGCAGGTTATCAGTTTTGAATTATGAAACAGCTATAGTGAATCAATTTTTTATCAATTATAACAGTTATCAGTTTTGACTGGATCAGTTTTAGAAGATTATACTGTATCTAAAAATATATATAAATATATAAACTTAAACTAGTTACAAATTTTTAAACTAAACCTAAATCAAACTTAAATTTGACTAAAAAGTTTGAATATAAAAGTTTAAGTCTGGTTCAAAAAATAAAACAAAACAAACTTATTTAAACTTTAGTTCAATTTGGTTTAATAAAAATAATGTTATTTAATAAAAACTTTATATTTTAAATTTAATTTATTTATTTAAAATTAGTATTTTAATAACTGGTAATAATCATTACTGGTATATAATTAGCCAATAAATTTGTATGATCAGATGTAATATGCAAATTCATTTGTGTAATAATAATAAAGATTTTTTTAAAAAATACTGATATCTCAAGAATTTGCCTATGAAATTATCTTCAATGTTCTAACAAAAAAATTTCTTGCTAAATTTTGTATATATTTAACATTTTGCTAAAATCTCAGGCCTCATCCTAACCCTAAAGTAAATGAAATAAAATATTTTTTTAGTTTATCATTATTGGCTAATTATATATTGGTAATGATTATTCTGGTCATTTTAACTAAAACTTTTAAAATTAATATATATTATATATATTATTTTATAAATTTAAGTAATAGCAAAAATAAATTTTATTAAATTTAATACAAATTAACAAATTATAATTTTGTTATTTAAAAAAAGCAATTATTAGCAAGCCTTTTACTAAGACTAATTAAGAATCTAATTTTTTTGCTTTTTCTTTTAATTTAATCTCTTTAGCAAATAATTCTTATCTAACTTTTTCATTTTCTAATTTTTGTTTTTCAATTGCTATTAATGATTCTTGTTTTTTGATTTCAAGTGCAGTTTCTCTTTCTTTAATAGAAATTTTCTATTTCTTTTTCTTTTAAAATAAATTCTCTTTCTTCTCTTGACAATTCAATATTTGAACTTTCAGCATAATTTGATGATAATTCTTCAGCTTTTTTTGATATAGCTATTGTTTTTGCCTTTTTTTTAATAGGTGCAGTTCTTTGAATACCCTTTTGTTTTTTTGTACTAATAATTTTTTTACCTTAATTATTAAAATTAAAAATTTAATAATTTAATAAAATAATAAATAATTTATATTAATATGTAAAAATTAAAATATTAATAATAAACTTACCTTTACATTTATTTGCATTATATTTTTTTTGTATTATACTAGTATCTTTATTTGTTTTAGAAATAGAAAATTTTTCATGAATTCCAATTCTTTTATAAGCTAGCAAATCAAAATTCCAACCTCTTTAAAAAAATTTAAAATTAGTAGATTTTATTTTAAATTAAAATAAAAAATTAATAATACTTACTTTATAATTGCTACTCTAAGTTATAATTTTGTTCCTTCTCTATTTATAGATACATGTGCTGTTTCAGCAATATTAGTATCAAATGGAGTAGAATTCCATAGATTAGTTGGCATTTTAGTATAAGCTTGTGTTAATGATGCCAAAATCCAAGGAGTTTTATAAAATGAAATCCAATCTAAAAATTATAAAATTTTTAAATTAATTTAAAATTTTTTTTTTTTTTTTTTAATATTAAGGTGAGGCCTTGCTCGTATCTTTATTAATAATTTTTGAAATAACAACAATGTG